TTGTCACAACAGTACAGTAGTCGAAACAATTATATAACCTATCCATCTGCAGAGAGTTGTAAGACTAGGAGTTGTTTTTAACCTAATGGACTGGAATCAACGGCAAGTACATCACTCAATGCCAACGATATTATTCCGTATGATAGAATCGAAGTCCTTAGCATCATGTTCAATGACCTCAATAGTGTAGGTATCCCTAAGGATAGGTCTTAAAATGAGCGACGACCTTGTGAGGTATGCAAGAAATTGATGGGTGCAGTAGGCTCAGGATCGTTCTTTATGGAAGTCCTTGGGAGAGGCCTATATTCAGGCCTACATTCATTCATTTATAATATTATATACAAATACAATATAATAATACAAATATATATATATATATATATATATACGTTCATTATTCAGTAACATGAGGTAACTTTTATTTGCATCGCATAAAACGTTAAGGCCGAACTTAAAAATGTTAAAGTCGACATTTATTTTCCAAAATGCAGCCTCTTCACATCTTCAGGCCCTTGTAGCCATGGTGCTCCTTGGCCCCTTATTATTCCTCTTGGATAGTCAAAAAAAATTAACAAATAAAGACAGCAATGTACATGAACAATAAATATTCAGACAACTACATGAAATAGATAAATATACTTACAATTTTAGATACAGTATGAAAGTATTATTGTTATAACTTGCACATGTTTGTTTGTATTGCAAATGAATAGATATTTAAAATTGATCTCTTTCAGCAATTTTTAATTCCGTTCACCTTGCTTATCCTTATTGCTACAAAATACGGAACCATTTATGTTATAATCAACATAGAAAACGGCATACCTATCAGGAAGGATTTACACCCGGCTATATTTAGCTATAAAACCACAACTGCAGATAGCAGAGTGTCAATTGATAAACTGAAAAGACTCTACCCTCGCCTTCTAATACAAGAATTAAACGAAAATCATGGTATGTATAATATCATTACTCCTCAGTCATCGTGAAATGAGAATATTTATTTAATGACCGTATACGGAAGTCGCAATACTAAACCCCTACTACGTGTCAGTATTATGAGAGAGTAAGAAAAATATCGAGAAAATGGCATTGCCAATGTTGTTAAAACGTATGTGTGCGTTGAGCGTCACAACGTCTACGATATAAGAAATAAATAACATTTGACAATGTAGATGTTCTGAATTGTTGTAGGAATTCCAATTCACGCGTAATGACAATTCCATTTAGGGTAAAGCAACGCCTGGATGGTATTTTGGTGTTGTAGCATTGAGCTACCTACTAGCATAAATATAATTTGTAATAAAATAAGGGTGACAAACGAGCACACAGTCCACCTGAAGATAAGTACATGCTGTGGCCCATAGACATCCATATTTATTGATTCGTTTGGTGCATTAGAGTAGGAAATCCGTGTATGTTATCCCTTAGGGACCATGCTGGGAATTTGCGAAATGAATTGCAGGGAAGGAAAGGATTTACTAGTAGACCTAAAACATTGTAGAACTAAATAAAATGTCACAGCCATTAAAATGTCACCCCTCAGTTCACACGATCTACCAGACAGGTCTCGGAGAGTATCTTAACAATGAAGTTAATATAATTTCCGTCTAATGGCGGTTAAGAATATCTACTACCCCATGTCTTTCTAGTGATGTAAGAGGAAACAGAGGGAAACTGACAGGAACTGGGCTGTAGCATCTATCTGATAACAGCAATAGTACAATAAAAACTGCAGTTGCCAACCCCCTCGCCAGGCGTGGTAACTATGGAAAACATCCCCCCATGATAACGATATAAATATACGGCCCCCAGTTTCCAGCTGTCCCGCTATAACTGGCTACGGTGGCTACCATGGTAACGGCGGGGCTAGGGAATTGCTAAGAATCTCCGGTGAAGGTTTGGTTGCCACCTAAGATGACGCGATCTAACAATATTTAACGAACGCACCTTGAGGACTGACGAGAATATCCTGGAGCTGGAATAAGAGATAGACAAGTTGCACTGGGATGTTATAGGATTATTTTAAGCCCAAAGATAGGGGGAAGACATAGTAATCCTCGTTTCCGATAACTTGTTCTATCACCGGGAGAGCGATCATCTGTCCCAAGATGTCCACAAGTATCTCGTTAGCAACGTTATAAAGATTAAAAAAAAGATACTGACGGTTCGGTAAAAAATGTGATTGACTCCATTATGAATACTGGGCGGCAACTGTTCATTGATGTCTCAGTGATTGCAAGGGTGAAAACTAGCAGCAATCGCTGAACGGTTAGTGGCACACTGAAATTAAACGTTAAGTTAGAGAGGTCACGAATAATGAAATTAATTCTTCGTCCCCCTCGTGCTCTTATCCTAAGTGTCAAAAATGTTCAGCTCTTGCTACAAAAAGCATTTTCAACACTGCAACTTAGTGGAAGACATGAGTGACAAGCTCGTGAAAACTGTCCATGTGATTGGAGCGGAGTTCTATTCTGCAAGACCTGTTGCAGAAGAACGCAATAACTCTTCGATCAGACTCTTAGTCTCATGGCTGTTAGACGGGAAATGACGCTGCAGTCTTCAGCAGACTTTACAGAATACGGGCAATTGGACAGACAGATTTCCAAATGCATATGGCGAGACTTACGAAACTATGTCCACACCTATGAAGGTAGTTAATGGAAAAACTATGCTCGAAATTATCATCAAGTATGTTTACCTGGGATAAATAGTCGGACTAGATAAGTCCAACTTCAACCAAGAGGTAAAAGGACGGATTCAACTCTGCTGGGTAGCGTTCAGGTAATTGCGATACATCTTCTCGTCAGGTATACCTCAAACCTTGAAAATGAGATTCTATTCTATTCTTATACGTGTGGTCCTTCACTGCTGGCCGTATGAGGACGCTCAAGGTCGCAGCGAGCTATGGAGGGAGCTATGCTCAGGGTTTCTCTGCGTGATTAACTTATAAATGAGTATATCCGCAGTAGAACTAGAGTGCCCGACATAGCCAAACGGATTAGTAAGCTGAAGTGGCAATGGGCCGGCCATATAGCTCGATGAACCGACAACCTATGGGGAAAAAGTTTCTCTAGTGGCAGCCTTGTACCGGCAGGTGAAATACAGAGCGTCCCCCCACTAGATGGAGTAACGACCTGGTAACACATACAGGAAGCTGATGGATGCGGGTGGCTCAGATCCGTGCTTTGTGGCATTCCTTGGAGGAGGTCTATGTTCAGCAGTGGACTTGTGACGGGCTATAATGATGACGATATCGATGATTTCAGATATTTAGTAAAGAATTTGTAAAGTTTATTTTACTAAGTAACAAAACTAAAAGTGTTAAAGATAATAGAAACCAATATATAACCAGTGGTCTCTTAGTTCACACAATGTTTGTTTTTTACATTAGTGAAAATTTCTTAAACAAATTATTTGTTTCGTAATTTTTTCTAGTTATGATTTTATTAGAAGTTTGAAAGAATTAAAGAAATAATAGGGCTAAATATAGGTACCATTTAATCTGTCAATCCCCACTGGTCCACATCGGTCTCCCCCGTGATAATTTTGTAATCTCCGCCAAAGAGTATTAATATTTTGAACCCCTCAGAATCAAAGAGTATGTAATCACTACGTTTACTCAAAACAATATGTAAGCGTGCTCAGAACATTCTTTTTACATGTTATTTATATGTAAAAAAGAATGTTCTGTCTTGTTAATTATATAAAAAGTACATTGTCAGAATAATAAACGATTGTTAGACTCTAACTTATTAATAATATTTTTAAATCGATTAATTGCTATTTTTATATAAAAAGTGGTTTTAGTGCCTTATAGTGTAGATCTATCAAATCCACGCGGAGGAGTAAACATGATAACTTTTAAAATATCAATTGTTTAACTAACTCAATCTAATTTATTCTCTTCATTTATCATGTGGGAAACCATATAATGTAAACGACAGTTTAATTTTGTTTTGTTTAGTTAAAATTAATATTTTTCGGCTGCAAAAAATCGAAGTTTTCGGTGTTTTAGCAGCGTTGTATTAACTTATTTGCTTTTGTTTTCTTGAAGTTTTTTTTTCTTATAACAAAACTACTAAATACACTTTGCTCTGCCTTACTACGAACTCGGCCGCCGTCGTGAGTGGATTACTGTATCGTAGGCTTACACTAGCGGTAATAGGCAGCAAAAATATCGATCGTTGCAGAAATACAATGAAAATATTTCAAAAACCAAATTTGATACATACTTGACTTACTTACTTATCTTCACGCACAATCCCTGACGGGGTAGCCAGAGAGAACAGATCGCCAAGTGTCACGATCCTTACAAACCTCTTTCGCATCTTTCAGATTCATTATCTTCTTCATATATGAACGTCTAGGTATCCGAGTACTCTTGACCCTACCCTCTTCGAGCAATTTGCTCACATGGTCTTCGAAAGTTAGTCTCGGTCTACCTCGACACCTTTTAATATTAACTTTCGCGCTATATATTTTCTTCACCATTCGGTCTTCACTCATTCGCTCAACTTGCCCAAACCACCGAAGCACGCCCTTATCAATTTTTGTGATAAGGTCATCTTTCAAACCTGCCATGTTGCGAATCTCTTCGTTTCGCTTTCGGTCGGCCATGGTAACGCCGCACATTTTACGAAGAGATCGCATCTCCACTGCATTCAACTTGCTTTTATGCTTCTTTTGGCATACCCAGGTTTCGCTGCCATATAACAAAGTCGGTACCAACACTGCGTTATGTATTGCAAGGCGTGCACTCTTCACTACGCCTTGCCTTTTGACTAACGCAGTCAGGGCACCATTGACTTTGTTCCCGGCAGCGACACGCCTGTCCACATCTAAATCACATCCTCCATCCCGGCTAAAAGCACTCCCCAAGTATACAATTTCATTTACCTGTTCTAGACATTCCTGATTTACCCATATTTCACACTTCGTTCTCTCTTCGTCCCTTTCAAATACCAGAACCTTAGTTTTATTAGCATTCAAACGGAGACCTTTAATTTCACATTCCTCTTTCATACACGTGACTAATGCCTGCAGTTCTGCCGCTGATGGTGCAATAAGCACTGCATCATCAGCATACAGCAGACAATTTACTTTTATGTCACCCAATTTCACACCCAAACTATCTTTCAGCTTCTGTAAACAGCTGTCGAGATACAGTATGAACAACCAGGAAGACATGACACAACCCTGCTTTACGCCCATTTGGACGCTAAATATGGGTGACAGGTCATGCCCTACCCGCACACAGGCTTTACAGGCACAGTAAAGAGACTGCACAGCCCTTAGCAATCGACCATCCACACCATACCCCGGCTACAGTTCCCACATTTTCTTCCTTACAACCTTATCAAATGCATTCTCAAGATCCACAAAAGCACAGAAAATCTTCTGGTTAGCAGCCAGAAGCTTTTCCGTGATCATGCGGAGAGAAAACATTTGATCCGTGCATCCTCTTCCAGGTCTAAATCCGCATTGTGCCTCCCATAGAAATCTATCCGATTTCTCTTGCATCCTACGTGTCAAAACCTTCGAGTAAACTTTACTTGCTAAACTGGTCAAACTGATCGCCCGATAGCACCCGCAGTCAAAATGTGAACCTTTACCTTTATATAAAGGCACAATGAATGCGGATCGCCAATCATCCGGGACATCCCCCGTCCGCCAGCACAAATTGCACAGCAGATGGAAGCTGTCCCAGACGCGAGGCCCACCATACTTGACCATTTCAGCAGTAACTCTGTCTAGTCCCGCAGCCTTACCACATTTCAAACTTCGAATAGCACGTTCAATCTCTTTTATACTGATGACCTCAGTGTCATCGAGGTCCGGGTCTGGCGTACCAGTCACGGCGTCATCCCCGGATCCCTCACTAAGATAATCACACGCATACATTTCTCTATAAAATTCGCTCCATCGCTGCATGACGTCCGATTTTTCTGAGAGGACGTCATTAGTTCTCGAAAGCACTTTGTTCATTCTTAAGGCCGTCGCACCACTTCGGGTCCTTCCAACCTCTTTCCAGAAGAGTTTGGAGTTCTCCTTAAAGTTGTGCGACAACCTTTCGTCCGCTTCCATTCTACACCTTTCACGCACTTCCTCAATCAATGCTTTCGTGTGAACTTTCTGCAGCCTATATCTTTCTTTCATCTTCTCTCTCATATCCTTATCATTACTAGAGGCCAAGTAGTCTAACCATGCTTTCTTCTTCTTCTTTACAGCTTCTTTCACTTCATCATTCCACCATGCATCTCTTCTTTTACTACTGCCTCTTTTTATTGTTCCACACACTTCTTCCGCTGCACTTACCATTCCATCCCTAAGGTTCTGCCATGTTCTTTCTACACATTCTTTTCTGCCATCGATGGTGTCAAGCTTTTCGGCTCGCATGATATTTGTCCCTAGTATCCGCTTCCTGAAGCTTCCAGCTTCGGATGCGACAGACCGACTGTGGGTCTGATACTGCCATACTTGACCAAGGGTATAATTTTTATAATCACAGATTTTTATGTAAATATACTTATACGTACTGCCAGGCGAAGTGTAGGGCGTCCTTCCACTAGATGGAGTGACGCCCTGGTAAGACAGGTTCTCGAGTGGTGGCCTTGTACCGGCAGACGAAGTGTAGGGCGTCCCTCCACTAGATGGATTGACGACCTGGTAAGACATGCATCCATGCAGGAAGTCGATGGATGCAGGTGGCTCGTGACCGTGCTTTGTGGCATTCCTAGGGGGAGGCCTAAGTCCAGCAGTGGGCTTTGTGGAGTAATCTGAAAGTGTACTTCGGTGAATGCTACTGGGGATTCTCGAAGAGTAGAACTAGGTGTGCCGAGTTTGGCCTCGTTTTGTTATTACGAGTAAATGAAACTAATTTTTACGGATTTTATCGCGTTTAATTTAACTTTTTAATTCCCGACGTTACGGGTGGTCACGGGGGAGACTGAGATGTTTGACGTCCCCATGTTATAGTTAGCCCGGCTACCTTCAGTTTTTGAATATTAATTTTTGGTCCGATCCACGCAGAATGAGCTTACAGTATTTTGAAGTCTTGCAGTAGTATGCTTGGGTTTGGATTTAATTTTATTAATTATAGGATCCCAAGCAGATGGCTGCACCCATCCATCTTCTCTATTGAAATTAGGATGTTTTTAATTTCAATAGCCTCGGGAATCATCCTTGGTAGGAATCGGTGTTCTTTTGCGAGGATTTGTGGTCTATCAAATCTAATGTAATGGCGGGGAAGATGTAGAACATGTAGAACAGACTTTACCTCCGGACTTGATAGAATGACCTGAAAGTGTACTTGAGTGAATGCTACTGAAACTCCTCGAAGAGTAGAACTAGGTGTGCCAAGTTTGGCCTGACTTTGTTTGTTATGATTAGACTTTACCTCCGGACTTGACAGAATGACCTAAAACTGTACTTCGGTGAATGCTACTGGATCTCCTCGAAGAGTAGATCTAGGTGTGCCAAGCTTGGCCTGATTTTGTTTGTTATGATTACACTTTACCTCCGGACTTGATAGAATGACCTAAAAGTGTACTTCGGTGAATGCTACTGGAACTCCTCGAAGAGTAGAACTAGTTTGCCGAGTTTGGCCTCGTTTTGTTAGTTAGACTTTACTTTCGGACTTGATAGAATGACCTGAAAGTGTACTTCGGTAAATGCTACTGGAACTCCTCCACGAGGAGAACTAGGTGTCCCGAGTTTGGCCTCGTTTTGTTAGTTATGATGTGACCTTACCTCCAGACTTGATGAAGGCACTCCTTGAAGGTGTACTTCGGTGACTGCTACTGGAACTCTTTGACGAATAGAATTACTATTTACTTTTTTCACGATCATATGAGCATTATAAGTCGTGCACTTTTGGATTTTCCAAGCTTTTTTAAAAGTGAAATTTGACATAAAATTATCGGAAAATTTGAAGTATAGTAATAGTTATAAGGTTTTAGTGAAAACTTGAGTGTAATTTAACTACTTTAAAATTTTTCATATAATCATGTTATACGTAATTTTTTAATGCGCTTAAGGAATACATAATTGGATTTACCAAGAGTTTTTTTATTTAAGAGAATGTACTTTAAATGACGAGTTTGCGCCTTTGCCGTCCAGTTTACTTCATCGTACTTAAGTCACTTAACTTCTTCGCGTGGGTGCAAGCAGCAACTTCAATTTAAAAAAAAATAAGTAGGTACAAAAGAAAGTTTGTTGATTAGTTTTTTTTTTATATAAAAGGTAAGTAATTACACTGCTATTAAAAGTTATTTGCTTATATTTTGTCTTGCAACAATTTTATACATTTCGTTTATGCATAAAATAAAGTGGTCACAAGGAACTGTAAATGAAATATAAAGTGTGAGTTATCACTATAAATTTAGTAAAAAACAAATTATCATATTCCACAAAGTCCAATGTGCGAAAATTACGTTTTATTTATAATTTCCATATATCGTGAATAATATAGCGAAGTTGTTTTCAATAAAAATGACTTTGGTCAAAGATAGTTTAATAAAATATATATATATTGTTTACGCCCACCCTTGCTGGACCACAAAGGAGGTGCGACGCGCGGGCGCGGGAGGACGGCTGAGACGGACTGGCTGGCAAAAACTACCGCCGGGCATTATTATACTTAACGCGGCTATATCTACATCATTATTGTAACGAGGATTAATACAGTTTTGTCATATATATATATTTGTGGGAAGAAATTATAAGTATTCGTCATAAAGAAGAGTTTTATTGAAGAGCACCGAATTACCGAACATAATTTTGGTGACCCCCGACTATGATGTGGATGACGCAACAGGAAGGCGCCAGAAGTTCCGGAATAAGTGCATAGTGCCGGAATAAGTGGTAAACACGGACCCGAGGGAAGTACGCCCGTTCCTAGTAAATCTATTCATATCCTTGTCCATATAATTGTGCTCAATTTGTGTAAATATAGTTCGTTAATTCCGATGCCATCGTTAGTTATACTTACCCACATAGTTCGTTTAGGGGGTGTTCGTGTAGGGGGTTCTCTTAGGGGGTGCTAAGAATCTCCGGTGGAGGTTCGGTTGCCACCTTAGACGACTCGACCTGGCAACGTACAACGCACGCACCCTGAGGACTGACGAGAAGATCGTGGAGCTGGAAGAAGAGATAGACAAGTTGCGCTGGCATATTATAGGATTATCCGAAGTCCGAAGAGAGGGGGAGGACACGGTAATCCTCGAATCCGGCAACTTGCTCTATCACCGGGAGGGCGACCATCTGTCCCAAGGAGGTGTCGGATTTATCGTCCACAAGTCTCTCGTTAACAACGTTGTAAAGATCGGGAGTGTGTCGACGAGGGTTGCGTACCTTATACTCAGAATCACCAAACGGTATTCGCTGAAGGTCATACAGGTTTACGCACCAACCTCGGCACACCCCGATGGGGAGGTGGAGGAAATGTATGAGGATATCTCTAGAGCCATGCATTCCTCCAAAACCCAATATACGGTGTTAATGGGAGACTTCAATGCAAAACTAGGCACAAGAGAAAACGGTGAGCTGAAAGTAGGGAAATTTGGAATAGGGCAACGGAACCCAAGGGGCCAGCAGCTGGCCGACTTCATGGAGAAAGAGGGACTCTTTATGATGAACTCTTTCTTCCAGAAGCGGCCCCACAGGAAGTGGACCTGGTCGAGCCCCGACGGTTCGACAAAAAATGAGATTGACTTCATTATGACGACCAGACGACAACTGTTCAGTGATGTCTCCGTGATCGCGAGGGTGAAAACTGGTAGCGATCACCGAATGGTTAGAGGCACACTGAACCTAAACGTTAAGTTGGAGAGGTCTCGTCTAATGAAGTCAACGCTCCGTCCCCCTCGTGCTCTGTTCCAAAGTCCCGAAACCTTTCAGCTCGAGTTACAAAACCGTTTTCAGTGCCTAGAAGACTGCAATGAAGTGGACGATATGAATGACAAGCTCGTGGAAACTGTCCATGCGGTCGGAGCTAAGTTCTGCAAGACCCGCCGCAGAGGAACACAAAAACTCTCCGATCACACTTTTAATCTCATGGCTGTTAGACGGGAGATGAAGCTACATTCTTCAACAGACTTGACAGCATATAGGCATCTGAACAGACAGATCTCCAAATGCAT